TAGTAGTAGTAGTAGTAGTAGTAGTAGTAGTAGTAGTAGTAGTAGTAACAGTAGTAACAGTAGTAACAGTAGTAACAGTAGTAACAGTAGTAACAGTAGTAACCGTGGTAACCGTAGCAACAGTAGTAACAGTAGTAACAGTAGTAACCGTGGTAACCGTAGCAACAGTAGTAACAGTAGTAACAGTAGTAACAGTAGTAACCGTGGTAACCGTAGCAACAGTAGTAACAGTATGGAACATTTCTGCGATTTTGTATGATTTTTTTATTCACTTCTATGTGACTAATTGAGTTTCAACATTAGTCTCAACGACGAGCGTCTGCAATGCTGGCGCAGTCCCGGGGAACACAAATGGCAAAGCGCAAGTAGGGCCAAATCAGCTGATCCAAATGCTCATGGAAATAGCTTCCTCAGGAACGTAACTTGGGCACATCTTCTTCAGATGGGTGCGGCCATTTTTTTCCTCCATGTGTCCGACCAAGGCATCAAACATTGAAATCATTTAAATGAGCCTCGAGTTGCAACTCCCAACTCCCAGACGCAGTTTTGAAGTTGCAATTGAAGCAGCTCAAACTCTCCAATGGCTACTTTTACTTGCACCGTTCGCCTATTTGCATACCTAGCACTTCCTGTCTGGAGACCGACCTAGCACTTTCGGTCGCGGAGTTCGTCGCGGAGAAAAACGTGGTCCAGCCAGGTGACCCGTTAGGACGACCACCAGTCACAGGGCCATGGAGGTCTTTCCCTTCTCCGAAGACACAGCAAACTGTTAATGGTTCCAGGGAGGGGTGTTGCACCAAATCACAAACACCGACAAACACCATATTTCATCACATATCATTGAATAACTATACACATATAACTACTATGGTTAATAGTAGTTGTCTTGTCTTGTCTACCACCCGCCCTCGCCGAGGCTCCCTCCGCGGCCACGCGCCGCACGAGGCCACGCACTGCCCGGCGCCGCAGCCACTGCAGCTCCCCGCAGAAGGCGCTATCGCGGTCGCCCGGAAAGTCCATAGTCAGGATGAGTGAGCTGTGGAGAGGTAGTGGCAAGGCATAGGTTTTTGGAGCTATGAAAAGAGGTAGTTACTGCGGGGTGTGCTTTTTCAGCGTGATTTGGGGGTGATGGTGGAAGATCCATTTTCGATGACACGAGCCATGCAAAGAAAGCAAACTTGGGCGGGTTAGGTCTCAAATAAAAGACGAAGGGGAGGTGCCCCACCTCACTACACTATTTTTTCTGGATCGCTGTGATTGAGTACTACAATATTGCTACAGAATGAAGCCATTGACTGCGGTCAGTTGCGCTTGGTTGTGCTGCAAATGTGTTTTCATCAGCCAATGGCTTGTGTTGCAAAAAATCGGCTGCACCAGGTGTGGTTGTGCTTCCAAGAAACCGTGGACAGTTTTGCCCAATAGGAATCGACATCACAGCCAGGTACTCAGCTCTAGTCATAGACGCATCCCTGCAGAAGTCTTGTCAATCTTTTCAGTCTTCATGAAACTCCCAAGGTGAATTATGCTATATATAAACTATATAGTTCCTTAAAGGTTAACATTTCCTTAATGTACAATGTATTATATCAGATTCTTTGAACATGTTTGCCTTTTCATCTCCAAAAGCAGCCAAGTCCGGCAAAATGTTTTGCAGTGTTGGAAGATCTACACTCCCTGAAACAATAATGGAAGTGGAATCGAGCCTGTTCATAGAGCAAGAGGCCATACTCCACTTCCATGTTGGTTGGATGGAAGGGTATATACGGTATATATATATATAAGTCCATTTCGTTGTATTTGGGTGTCATCTCATTGCATTTGGGTGTTATGATTTCTACTTCTCCTAGTAACGGATCAAAAGTTATATATTCTCCTATAGTATATATATATATGTATATATTCTACATAGGTATAAAAATGCATTATATCTTTCCTCCCAAATGGAGGAATCCTCGCGCAGGATCTGCGATCGCTTCAGTGGTCAAGAGCGATCGCTTCAGTGGTCAACTGCGCTCTTGACATAGATCTGAAGATCCTTCCCAGAAAAAGACCCTGGAAACTATACAAGACCCAAACCAGAGCAACTGAACCCGACGTCTCAAAAGCTGGAGTCGAGATGACATTAGTGAAACCAAAAAGACTCGTGGCACTCACATGGAGGGCCCAGAGTGGTGTGGCTCGTCCCATTGCGGCATCGGTTCCCCGGCACCCTCTGGTGATTCTGTGGTTCCACGTCATCGATCGAGTTGATCAGCAGAACCGAACTGTTCAACCGCTGGATCTTTGTTTCCACGCTGGATCTTTGAGTTTCTTTGGAAACAGTTGATTTCTGCTCTTGGAAACGGTTTCCGAATGATTTGGAGGCATTGTGTTGAGGCATGAGGACAAAAAGATGTTGAATTCCCAATTTGAGGTTCCATTCCCAAGCAACTGAGCGGGAATGTAGCACCTTTAAGAGGTCTCATCAAACCAAAAGCACTACCCGTTGGCTCATGCGCTCTCTCTCTCTCTCGTTCCGTTGGGCGTCCGGGCAGGTAGTAGCTCTGCATGATGAAGGTCTCCGAGCCCATGCCCGGGTGCACCCGGACCAGGCCGGGCATCACCTGCCCGAGCGAAGACGGCGAAGACGGGCGGGTGGCGGGGGATGGGAAGCTTCCGGGGAGGTGCGGCTGCTGACCACGAGAGGGTTCGGGTTCTGTCTCACTATATCACGCCCTCTCTTCTGCCCATGTTCAGGATGAAAAGCCACGTGAACGAGAGATCAAAAGAACTTTATAAGCTTAGGTCCTCCAGCGTTGGGGAATTTGGGTTGTTTTGGGGCCAGTGCTCACGTTGAACCCATGTGACCCTGGTTTTGAGACCACCCGGGGTGCTGATTGAGCAAAACACTATAAAGCACATGCATGCGTCGATGACCATGGTCATTGGGCACCACACCACGACTCGGTCACGAGCCCATGTTGTTTGGGTCCAGACTGGGGGCCCCTGGTTACCACCCCCACGCATCAACAGCACAAAGGACGCGATCAGGGATGAAGCGGCCCTCAGGTTTTGACTCACATTTGGTCGGTGACCCAGGTCGAATTGTCCGAGGGCAAGTAACGTTGTGGACTTGGAGGGGACGATGACTAGAACAGGCCGGTCAGACTCCGGTCAGAGGACGTCTCGGTCGGACTTGATTCAAAGGTATCTGACTGTACATCTCTGCAAATACCCGTGTGAAGGTATGTCTCAACCGCATAGTCCTGCTTTCTCATTTTCGAGCTCTTTCTCTCTGACGATGCTGTCATGTGACTTCCACCTGCCCTGGCTTTGAGGATGAGTGATGCTTGCCACCACGTACTTTCAGTGCTCTTGAGGTGATACTCCCCAGCCCCTGAAGCATCTCTGAAGGCAACCCACAACATCGGGTGCAAAAAGAGCTGAGTCACGACATAACTCCCCAAACACTGGGGACAAAAAGAAATGCAAAGAACACATCAACAGGAAAAGGAACCAAACCCAACACCCAAACAACAGAAAACACCACCTGCTCCAGCCTTTCTTCGACATTTCCATGCTTTTCCCACTTCACCTGCTCCACCTCCCAGCTACAACTTACCCTCCCTCCTTTTTCCCGCCTGGCGAAAGGTGGAATTCGTTCGCATCGACCAGCTCCAGGCATTGCTCACTAACCCCACCAACGTCCGCACCTCACCGGCGCGCGGGGTCCAGTCCGCCCGGACCGAGCAGCAAAGCTCCGTTCGGCAGCCCGGATGTTGGGACCTATTTCGACCATCCAGTGATCACCCTCACATCCGATCCACGGTGTACCTCAGGTTTGGTACGACTGGGAAAAAAGGACTTCGAATGGCCTTTAGCTGGTCCGAAAAGGGCTTTCCGTGAAAGTTCCTCCAGTTCGCCTTCTTGGCATGGCCCAAACCAACAGAACCATATCCTCGGCGGTAAGACCCGCCAAACCCACCCCAACCACCTTCGAAACGGGGGTCGTTGGAGCTTGAGGGCCCACATCTGCCAAGTCCAACCAGGCCAAGTCCAACCAGAACGAAGGATGAAGAACCCAGCTTGACACACTCCCCCCCCTTTTCAGAGTCACGAGCGGATGCCAGCACCGTGCCGGCCGCGAATGGGTTCCGAGCGGTTTGCGCGGAGCGAGCGAGCGCGGAGCGAGCTTGGACCAGGCGGGGTGCCACTGTGAGTGGTGCCCCTGTCATCTCACATCCACAATGGACGGGACATGACTGGATGGGACAAACAGTGGAGTGCTCGGCATATTGGGGGAGTGGAGTGGAGATGCTCAACCGGACACCGAGGTGTCTACCATAGAACCTGAATGACCTCTATTTTGGACCACCCACCACCGTCCAACTTCCTATCAAGAGGGCTCAAATGGTCATAGTGTGCTTCCAGGCGTCAACCACCGCCTCGTAGAGAGGTCCTCTCTACCCAAAGAGCCACCACTCCAAGGAACGGACGACCGGCAGGAGATCCGGCCTGCTGAAAGATGTCCATGACATTGGCAACTCCTGAGCCGTCGTGTGCGTCGATCGCGCGGCCACGTGCGCCGCGAGAGAACACTCGCGCGGACCCCCTGTGGCCCTGTTGCCGCTGCGCCGTTTCGGCAGTGCTCTCAGCCGGTACTGCAACCGCGCTGATAGCCTGAACATTTGGGTTTCCCATGGGTTTTTCCCGCACATTTCCCACAGGAGTTACACAAGCTGTAAACCGATCTATGCAGCACCAAAGGACACCGATTCGTGATCACACCATGACCAACAGCCCCCGGTCACACCATCTCACTCCTGGCCGTTTCTCCCACTTCGGCCGACCTACGGCGGCTGGGCTGGGCTCCCCGGGCGGAGGTACAACCCCTCCTTGGGCATTCGGACAGACTTCCGACGCCATGCCTGGCGGGGCCCGGCGGCATTCCGGGAGACCACGTGCCCCGGGAGAAGTCCAGGCCAAGAATCGGTAGTTGAAATCCGAAGATGGCGAGAGCATGTGATAGAAGTAGTCCTTTTTGGAACATCAGGGTCTCTGGCGAAGGAGTTGGGGTCCCGATGAAAAGCGTTGCGAACTAGGAACGGCAGTGTTTGAATGATGTTCGGTCCTTTCAAAGCTTTGCCACGTGATGCATCCGCCCCCGTCTCGTCGTTCGGGCCCTTTTTGCGTTGCTCCATTCTCCGGCGGAAGGCCATTCTCCGCTCAAAGGCCATCCGTTCCTGGGAGGAGACAAACACGCACAAGAGGAAACTGTTCCAAATTCCTCTTCAATACGTCTCGGGCCAAGAATATTCCATGATGTTGGGAACACCATGCACCTGGAAACCCAAACAACCAGAAGCAAATGGTTGTTCCAATCCTTTACATATTGGTTTCCCAGGCAGAAATGTGTCAAGTGAATGTGGATTGGACTATGCAAGCCCCGTCAACACCAATGGAAACTTGATGCCGAGGGTAGGTGACGAAAGCTAGCAGGGATGCATCCGTGTCAGTGGAGGCGAAGCATACAGCGCGGTCCAGTGACAAAGGACTGGTGGGACATCAAGCGGAGTGAGGCAAATCTTTTTTCATAGGCATGGGGCTGTTTGTTGGAGGGATGGTTCACAAGGTCTCGCTCATGAGGCAAAACGTTGTGAACATGTAGTAAGACACACGAACAGCAATGACACAGCCAACCTTAGCTTGTGAATCTGTTGAATCTGTTGCATCGTATCCCAAAACCTCCACGGAGGAGTTGAACCAAAGTGGATGCCATAAGAGGTGTCCAAGAGGTGTCCGCCCCAGAGGCGTCCCAGGGGGGAGTCGAACCCGCGGGGGGGGCCCCCTCTACATATAAAGTTTTCACGTGATGCGGCGATCTCGAGGATTCCAGCCCCTCACTTGCTAAAGCAAGGATAACTCCAGCTAGCTGATGCTAGCTTTTGTGAAAAGCAAACATACACCAAACACCGCACCCTTGGGTATTTGGACCAACGGGGTGCAGGGTCTCACTATTGAAATACATTACAGGGAACATGAATTGAAGGTATTTAGAATATACCAGCACCACGCAAAGAGTGGTTTATAGACCCCCCATGAAGATGTATTTTCCATCTAATAACCACCCTTTGGGTGGTGCTGGTAGACTAAACTATACTAAACGCTGCACCCTCCCGATGACACAACACATGCCTAGCCCTGAAATCATCACGTTTCCGTGGAGGTAACCCCTGGACAAGTAGGCTCTTCGGAAGACTCATGGTCATCGAATTTCGGGGGGCCATGCCAAGCCATCCACGTGGGCGCACCATGAGATCCCTAGTCTGCCAACCACCACAGATTTAAATGGTCTAAGTCTTTACCAAAGAACAATTGTTTTAGCCAAGGATTTTACACTAATTACAAAAGCAGCTCAACCATTTTTCCCCAACAGCAGCATGCTTTGGGGTAGTCAGCCATAGTAAAGGTTTCGGAGCAAGCCGGAGCAGCTCCCAAAGACATTCCCCAGGTTCCCACAAGGTTCGCGCAAGGTTCCAAGGTTCCCGCCAGGTTCCCACAAGGTTCCCAAGGTTCCCCCAAGGTTCCCACAGCTTTGCTCCAACGTTCCCACAAGGTTCCCACAGTTTTGTTCCACAAGGTTCCCACAACTTTGTTCCACAAGGTTCCCACAACTTTGCCCCACAAGGTTCCCGCCAGGTTCCCACAAGGTTCCCACAACTTTGCCCCACAAGGTTCCCGCCAGGTTCCCACAAGGTTCCTGCAAGGTTCCCAAAGTTCCCAAGGTTCCCACAACTTTGTTCCACAAGGTTCCGCCAAGGTTCCCACAGCTTTGCTCCAACGTTCCTATGAGGTTCCCACAAGTTTGCTCCAAGGTTCCCACAGCTTTGCTCCAAGGTTGCCCCAAGGTTCCCACAGCTTTGCTCCAATGTTCCCACAAGCTTCCCACAACTTTGCTGCAAGGTTCCCAGAAGCTTCCCACAACTTTGCCCACTTTGCTTCAAGCTTCCCACAAGGGACCAAAGGTTCCCACAGCTTTGCTCCAAGGTT